CACACACACACACACACACACACACACACACACACACACACACACACACACATACACATACACACATATATATATATATATATATATATGTGTGTATGTGTGTGTGTGTGTGTGTGTGTGTGTGTGTGTGTGTGTGTGTGTGTGTGTGTGTGTGTGCAGGAAGTTGAAGAAAAATAAATTAATTAAAATCATAAAAATGCATAATAAAAATAAATAATTTAAAAATAATAGTCAAAATAAAATGCTTACTAAAAACTAAAATCATAATGTAAAATTTAAATAAATAATAGCAAAATAAAACACTTATTAAAAATGAACAAAATCCTAATATGTACAACAAAAATACATTTTAAAATAACATTTAGAATAAAATGCTTACTAAAAGATAAAATCATAAAAAAGTACAATTAAACTGAATTGTAAAATAACACTAAAAAATGTATACAATTTTAAAATTGTAAAATTAAAATACATTTTAAATAATATAAAAAGCTGCATAATTAATAAAACCATAAAAATGGGCAATTAAGGAAAATATTTTTTTTATAAAAATATAAATAAAACACTATACAAATGAATAATATCATACATAAAATATACAATTAAAATAAATGAATTCATAATCATAATAATAAAACTAAAATGCCTGCTTGAAATGTATAAAAAGTACAATTGAATATACATATAAAAAAAACACATTAAATGAATAAAACTACAGTTATTCTAACATTTATTTGATAAAAATCAGAAAAGATTTAACAGCAGAAAGACACGTGAAGCTCAAGCAGAAGCTGGACGTTTGTACAATACACTAAAAGATCTTTGACTGGATAAAAAAACCCCTCTAAACTAACAATCAGACAACAGAAGTCGCGTATCATGCATCACTAATTTTAAGTTAAATATCTACTTTCTAACCATCACCTACAATCACACAGCTGACCTCTGACCTCCACGGTCCAGGACTCACCCAGCAGGTTGCCTGAGAAGTTGACCGGCAGAACGATGCCCACCGACAGCACGCCCACCACAACCAGCAGACCGATGATGTGCCGCTGGAACGACAGGTAATGAACGGCATCTTCACCGCACTTCTCCCGGATCTCCTCGTCCCTGCGGGGAACGAGACTCACGTTAGCCGCCCCTTATACTTCATGATACAGAGAATATATAGACATAGACATATATATATATATATATATATATATATTTATAGATGATGCTTGATTACAGAGAATGGACTACAGACTACGAAGAACAGAATATCAAATATAAAGGATGGAGTATGAAGCATGGAATTGGAAGCACATAGTATGGATGGCAGAGTGCAGACTATGTAATATATAGTATAAGCAGGGGGTAAATAATACACTGTATAAAATATATAGTATGGAGTAAGGAGCAGGGTTTCTCAAACTGGGGTTTGTGAGGGAACTGCAGGAGGTTTGTGAGTTGAAAAAAAGCTAATCAATTAAAATCATGAAAATGCTAACTTAAAATAACTAATTTAAAAATAGTCAAAATAAATTAAATAAATTACAGTAAAATAAAACCAAAAAGAATAAGATGTACAACAAAAATAAATCAAGAATAATAACTGATAAATATAATTAAAATAAAATACTTCATAAAAGTTTTTTTAAAAATCATAAAATTGTAGAATGAAACTAGATAATTTTTAAAATACTGTAAAACACTAAATTATTAAAACCATAAAAATATGCAATTAATAAAAATAAAACATTATATGAATAAAACAATGAAATATACAGGTAAAATCATTTAAAATAATAAAATAAAATGTTTAGTAAAAATGTAGAAAATCATAAAGTACAATTAAAATATTTTTTAAATATATAAACTTCTTGAATGAAATTATAAAATATACAATTTAAATTAATCATAAAAAACAACAACAACATCTACATGAATTAAAACTTAAAAATGCACAATTAAAATGAAAATAATCAAAATAAAACTTTTGTGGAAAATAAAAGATTAAATATTCCGTTAACCTATATGTCATGTGACCGAAATTAGAGAACGGTGAACATGCAAATGTGTTGTGAAATTGAAATATTAACTTAAAATCAGGGGTTCTTTAGGTCTAAGGGGCTCAGCTGACAAAAATAGTTTGGGAAACCGTCAGGACATGCAGTAGCACTGTGTTCTGCTGTGCTGTGCTATTGATATTAACAACCTCAGGTTAGAGCCAAAGAGCCACTTACTTTATTCTGAATATGGCTGTCAACCAGGAACAGAAGCCCTGCAATGAAAGCACATCAAACAATGAATGTGTGATGAACACACACACACTGTCCTCTGTCTCTCTCTCACACACACACACAAACAGACTATTACTGCATTTATTAATTCTTCTTGGGGGTTTTATGGCTTCAACACGTCCGGCCAGGCCTATAAAAAGCTCTCTGTGAGAGTATGTGAGGATACCGGCTGATTTCTCTGGCTGGATTAGAGGTGAACGCAGGTGAAGACAGACAGGAGATGCTGAAGTCCTGCACTGATCTCTTAAGAGGCTGGAAAACAGGCTTAAGCTGGCATCCCAAGGGCCGATTTTAGTAGGGGATGTCACCTGTTAAAATATCCTGTGGAAATCCCATCCTACACTGGTTTTTTTTATATATCGTCTGTTGACGAGGCTAAATCACACATTTCCCTCTAAATTAGTGGTTGACCGACATATTGCCAAGGCCGATATAGCGATTGATATTTTACATTTTCCAACTATCAGCATCGGCCGATCAGTTTATGTGTTTGGCTGTTGTGTAGATATTGCCATGACTGATATATCGACCGATATTTGACAGCTTTTAAACTACTGGCCGATCAGTTTTTGGGTTTGGCCGATGTGTCGATATCCCCAAGGCTAATATATCGGCCGATATTTGACAGCTTTTAAACTACTGGCCGATCAGTTTTTGTGTTTGGCAGATGTGTCGATATCACCACGGCTGACATATTTGCCAATATTTGCCTTTTTTTTTTTTACTATCGGCATATCAGTTTTTCTGTTTGGTCAATGTGTCAATATCAACATTGCTGTACAGCCGATGTGTCGATATTGCCATTTTTTTAACTATCTGCATCGGCCAATCAGTTTTTGTGTTTAGCAGATGTATTGATAACGCCAAGGCCGATATATCGGCTGATATTTGGCATTTTTAACTGTTGGCCAAACGGTTTTTCTGTTAGAATCAGGACTTTTATTTTGATGACGCTGAGAACACCCAGAAAGCTCCCATTCCTTTTTATTGATTGTTTTTTAACCATTTCTTTGATGTAAAAAAAAACTATATTAGGATAACACAATGTAGAAGTTACAACTGAAATAAATCTGTTTAATTTACAGCAGAGATGCCCAAACCAGGGCCTATGGGCCAAAGTTGGCTCATGATGCCATACCATTTTACATTGAAATGTAAAAAAAAAATTAAATAAAAACATTTTTGTTTAACTATTATTTTTAATATATTTTAATTTACAGTATTACAGTTGGATTGTATATATAATGCAACATTTACTTTTGGCCTACTCCCCTCAATCAAATTTTATTTTTGGCCCTTCATATTTAAAAACTTGGGCAACTCTGTTTTTGTTTTTTAATCATTCAAATTATTATGTGAATATATAAATATAATGTAAAATAAATATAATTTATTTCAGCAGTTCTCATGCATGTGTCTTTACCATCTATAAATTAAATACCGTGATTTCATATTTCTCATCTTTATAACTGGCCATAAAAAAAATCTATATTGGTCAACCACTGCTCTTAATCACTTTAAGGGATCCTGAGGTTTCAGTTTGAGGGAGTTTATTTGGGGGTTTTGTTGAGTCAATTTCTCTCCTGAAGGCTTCTGGGGACTTTCAAGGACGCCATCAGAAACAAGCGCAGAAATGCTGGTTCATCATGACAGTGATTTAAAGCGAAACGATGGAAGGAAGTTTTCGCCCTCGAAACAGGCCGTAGGTTCTTTCCGAGCATATATAAGGCTGACGTGAGGTTAGTGTTGCATAGAAAAATCAAATAGAGTCCACAGGGAGCGAGAGGGGCTGGGAGACGCACTTTGGGAAACGGGTAATAAAGATAGAGTTTGATCCAAAGTCAAAAACAAATCACCAACTCTTATTGAAAATAAATGATTTCACAAAATAAATGACTTAAACGGGCCTTTAATGTAAAAACTAAACAAAAAAAAAAATGTATACATAAAAACATGAATACATACACACATCTACTATCGTTCAAACGTTTGTGTACAGTAAGATTTTTTTTTATGTTTTTGAAAGAAGTCTCTTCTGCGCACCAAGGCTGCATTTATTTGATTAACAATACAGTAAAAATTGTGAAATATTTTTACAGTTTAAAATAACTGTTTTCTATTTCAGAAAAATTATTTATTTCTGTGATCAAAGCTGTATTTTCAGCATCATTCCTCCAGTCTTCAGTGTCACATGATCTTCAGAAATCATTCTAATATGCTGATTTGCTGCTCGAGAAACATTTCTGATTATTAGCAATGTTGAAAACAGTTGTGCTGCTTCATATTTTTGTGGAAACTGTGATACTTTTTATTTTTCACGATTTTTTGATGAATGGAAAGTTCAAAAGAACAGCATTTATTTGAAATAGAAATCTTTTGTAACACTGTAAATGTCTTTACTGCCACTTTTGATCAATTTAATGCATCCTTGATTAAAAGTATTGATTTATGGATGTGTGGATGCAGATGGGAGGGGAGGGCGGGGCCACAGGAGTGATTGACAGGTGTCTTACATTATCTCGTTGTTCGAAATCCACCGAGCTAGAGACGGAGGTGAGACGTTCATAACGGTCTGGTGTTTCAGAATGAAGAGCTGAAGCCACACTGTACACAAACACAAACGAGAGACAGAAGCAGAAAGGAAAAGAGAAAGAGAAAGAATCAAGTGAGAAACACTGGTTCAGGTCTTCTGAAGAGTTAAAGTTTCATGTTTCAGGTTATTCTGAAGGCCTGAAATTAGCCGAGCGGAGCCAGACTCAGGCAAACGTAGGTCAGTCTCATCTCGGGGTAAATGGGATATTAAGTATTTAGGTGCTAGAGGAACAGAGAATACATCTGTAATGCACATTTCCCTCCATACCCTGAAAGATATTAATCCACAGATGAGATGAAGCCGGATCTACTCCCAAAACACACCGCAGAACAAACAGATCTAAACCATCCTAACAGGAAGATGCTCATCGTCTTTCCAGCCTCCTTAAACTCAGTTTTGAGTGTTTAGACGCTACAAACATTTTAAAAATTTCAGCATCCAAAGTCATTTATTAATGTGCTTCAAGATAAAAAAATTAAAATAAATAAATAAATAAAGTCTGGTAACAATTAGGCTGATATACAAATAAATAAATGTATTTATTTATTTTATAATAAATATAGCCTAATTTTATAATAAACATTTTTTTATTTATTAAACATACTTCCTGTTTTTTATTGTATAAATTCTTATATACACGCCAAGACAAAAATAAAATAAACTTGTTAATCTGATTACTAAAGTCATTTATGTACTTTAAAAAAAATTAAAAAAATAAAATAAAATAAATGTTCACTTTCATTATATGGATAGAAAGGTTATTTAGCCATTTTAAGAAAGTTCTGTACAATTAGGCTGATTTATATATCCTGCTTTTAAATAAATAAATATATATATATATATATATAATATGAATATATAATATAAAATGAACTCAATCGGATTATTCATTACTAACATATTTTAGCATCAGAGTCATTTATGCACTTAAAAAAAAATGTAAACAAAACATTCATTTTCATTTTATGTAAATAAAGTTAAAGTGTAGAATTAGGTTGATTTTGACTTTCTGATTTCAAGTAACGGTGCTTTAAACAGCAATTAAAGATTCAGCTTAAAATATGATATAAGCTTACATATTCCTTGTTTTTTTATCATATAAATTCTTATATAGATAAACTCGTTTACGAACACATTTTAGCGTTCATTTATTTATGCGTTCTAAAGCATCGCTCACTAGCTTTGATGAATGAGCCGTTTTTAAAAACTGTACTTGTTGAGGACATTATCTCTGACATTACTAGTTCCTAGTTTAAAACGAGCAGGTTTGAAGGAACGGATCCTCTTTTTCTTTGTTGGAAACCATTCCAGAATGGCACTGACACAGTTTGAAAAAGGATCCAGTCACACAATTTTTCCCCCGTGGTTTCTCTGCTGCGCTTCTGGATGACTGACAGACTCATTAGACTAACAGAAAAAGGAGGATCCTCCCTGAAACACCTGCACTGCTGCGTCTCAAATGCAGTGATAAGAACAGAGGTTCACAAGGTAACCGGGCCAGAACGAACATTTAGCAAATGAGTAAAAATAAACCCCTGTATTGAGCGTTTCTGGACCTCAGCACTGTTTTCATAACACACTGAACTGAATCCAAGCTCTATTTCTACACTTGTTTTCATTGGTCAACACATCACCGGTCAATCAAATCAATCAATAAGACAGCAGTGCTTATATTGCAAAAAAACTCTGCTGATGCTATGAAGGGCCATGAACTTGGTTATTATTTTGTCCTTTTTGTGCAGTAAAGAATTAAAAAAATTAAATAAAATAAATCTGTGAACATCTGTATGTCTCATTATATTTTAAAGATAAAATGTGCAAGGAAAATAAAATAAATAAAAATAAAAAATATATATAAAACAAAATAAAATGTTATAATAATAATACATTTAAACAAAAAATATAACAACAAAATAATATTAAATAAAACAAAAATTTAATATAAGATAATATTTTAGGCAGTAGTACAGTACCAGTGCAAACCTTCCAACCCTAGAGTGAAAAAAAAAAATACAATAAAATATACAATTTGTTCACTTTCACTTAACAGAAAGTAAGTTAACTAATCCGTTTTAAGGAGATTCTGTACAATTAGGCTGTCAATCAATTTTGCTTTGAACAGCAAATAATTTAAAAGATTAAACTTAAAATATTATATTATTGTATAATATAATATTTATTGCATATTTCCTTTTTTATTATATAAATTCTAATATGCACATTAAGAACCAAAGAAAATAGATAAACCTGACAGCCTGATAACTCGTTTGCTGGTTGACTAGAAGTGACTCGTCCCTACTTTGGAACATCATGAGGATGAATAAAATTTAAATTTAAATATATATTCTTTTAAATCCATTTGAAATCGACTAATTTGTTGTTATGGACCATTCGGGCAACACTGGGAGAACAAGGACACCGTCATCTACGGCTAAAATGACCTCAATGGCTCTGCTGAGGAAATCATATCCATCTACGATCACCAAATCGCTCTACATGAGAAGATACACATTCACAAGGGCAGGACGACTCACAATACTGAGGGGTCTTGTTTGGATCCACTTTTGGGGTCACAACAGGTCAGAAAGACACGCTAAAGCTCTTTTACCTGCGAACGGGCTCATAGTTACTCCGTTCCTTCCTCCTACTGTAGTCAAATAACACACGTCACAAAAAGAGACATGAAGGGCAGGCGGTTATTGACACTCATGTGTTAGAGGCCTTTCCGAACGCCACATTTACACGTGTGAGTCAATCATCACACACACACACAAGAGGAAAATTAATATGTGGTGAGCAGTGCGCGAAAACACTAAGGACAGCAATCTCTCTCTCTCACTCACACACATACACACACACCCCTCTAAAGTGACATCCCCACAGTTACAAACCATTTCACACACACAATAGTTTATCAGAAGAAGTGAGCGGTTAGTTCTTCAGCGAGCAGAATAAAGTGGAGGAACAATAACTGAACATACTACTCCCGCTCCACCAGACCGCTGAATCTTCTCTTCTGTCTTGGGAAGGAAAGAAAAAAACAAGAGGAAGGAAAAAATAAGCTTGAATACATTCAGAGCAATACATATCTGAAGACTGCAGCTGTCAGAGCTTCAGCTGTGGAAATAGAGTGGTGTTAGGTGAGAAACAGAGATACACGATATATCTGTGAACATATCAGTACCTCCCAATATACTTTAAAGATGACGTGCAATTAAAATACTTTATTGTAAAGAAATAAAATAACAATTGTAGCATTTGGACCAATCAGACACACAACTTTGTTATATTTAACAAATAATATCTAACTCCCCATCACCTAACCAAATGGCCAATTACGAGGGTCTATGGACCCTTCCCCCGAAATGCACCTAACACCTCAGAAAGGCAGAACAGGCCTCTGGTTCCATGGTAACCAATGCTGATATCACTGGTTTTATGGCCTAAAGGAATGCGGGCAGACAAACTCCCTCATTTTCCTCATAAGAAAGACACATAATGCCCAGAGAAATGGACTGTTCTCTAATTAATTCATAGGAAAACCTTTCTTTGATTGAATACACATATCCTTCAAGTCATTGTGTATACCATTACTGTTCTTGTATATTGTCTGTTGTAGTGTATGCTGTTTTATGCATGTTATCATAGACCACTAGTTAACATAACCTCACCTATTTCATGTTTGGTCTCTATGAATTCATCTTCGGATGATCTAACTGAGAGTGCATATTACATGCTGATACCTATGCAACATATTGATGTTCTAAGAATCATTACTAATTTCTGCATCAACACCCAAGTGAATTACATATGCAAAATACCATGCTTAGAGAACAAAGGGTCATAAACCCTCCAGCAATTGCCACCTCCCGCTCAGAAATTCCATCTTCCTCATTGGACAAACCCATCTTGAGAGGCGTGAATCTCTGCAGGCTTTAAAGGCCACACTTCATGTGACCCGCCCCAGTCGGTGGTTCGGTCAGAAGCAAAGATGATGTGAGAAAACGCTTCAGGATACCAAAGCATTTGTGCCAGGCCTTTCTTCGGCCTAGTCCTTTCCATTCATCAAGTGACACTGACTCAAACTGGTTCTTTTCATCGACCCGAATTCAGCAAAGATCAACGGGAAGCTTTAAGATTTGCATCAGGAATCTCTTTCAGACCGCCGAGACTCGCTAAGTATCAAACTTAGTCTTATTAATTGATACATTAAGTATCAGTTACACCTTTTTACAAAGGTGTGTTTGAACTAAGAATCTGACGTATCCCTGAAGGCTTGGATCTGTTGAATATGCAAAAGTGTTCCATAAAATTCATTCTTTATGCCTCTTTCTATGCTGAGTTAAACTTTAACCCTTTCCTATACCAACTGTATGTGTGTGTGTGTGTGCGTATGTGTATGTTAGACCGGCTTAATGTGTTTATGTAGTATGTTAGACTAGTTTAAGTGTTTATGTAGTTAATAAAACCTTACTTGTATCACACTTGACGTGTTCAGTGTTTACTCATAACCGGAGTCAATAATCATGCAGATTTACGTTACAAACTTATAGAATTGTACAGTAAGAAAGTTATTTCCCTTAACCAGGAAATTAACGTTCTTAGAATTGACAAGACGGTTGACCCTGAGTGGTCAGCTAAATATCTACAGCGATTCTAAAATATGAATAGTTAATTATAACTAGTTATGGTTAATTATTCATATTTCCCCAGGAGCTGATCCGCTACCCCCTCTTGGGATCTCTCCTCTGTCCTGACGGCCTTGAAGGAGGAGCCCTTCGAGCCTCTGCAGTCGGTAGAGCTTAAGCTTCTGTCGTTGAAGACAGTGCTCCTCACCACATTGGCCTCGGTCTTGAGGGTAGGGGACCTGCAGGCATTTTCGGTCGACGATTCGTGCCTAGAATTCGGAACGGGTAACTCTCACGCTGTCCTGAGACTCCGGCCTGGATATGTGCCCAAAGTTCCCACCACGCCTTTTAGGGATCAGGTGGTGAACTTGCAAGCGCTGCCCCGGGAGGAGGCAGACCCAGCCATCGCTCTGCTCTGTCCCGTTCATGCTCTGCACATTTACGTCGACTGTGCGTGG